GGGTGGGGGGGACGGAACATGCACACAGACACAGAAGTCTGGAGACATGTTACTATTGTTACAAGTCTACAGGAATGCTTTCCTTGGGTAAGGGGGATAAAAAAAAAAGTTTTAAAAAGTGGTAGTAGAAAAACCTCAATATATAAGAAATTTACACTAATTTACATTTGATGCTTCCGGCAACACAAGGACTTTTCCATCCTATGTTTCAAGGCCTTCTTCAACATACTATACACATTCATAATGAGGCTTTTCTACGAAACCTTTTTTTTTGGTGATTTTCACAAACTATCGGGCCTCATGTAGCTTTCATGGTGTGTCCCACCGGACGTAGGCACAGTACAGAATGGTGCCACACGGACAGAGAAGGGCACCCGGAACTTACTAACAGTTATCCACTTGCAGAATAAGACAGCCCAGATCTAACCATGGCCTCATTTCACCAGGAACTGTTGAGGAAAACGGTAACTCTTGAGAATGAAAAGACCTCACAAGAGCCCTGAACACACCATCCCATCCAGAACAAAAAGAAAAAGATGACACAACTGAAGTTACAGTATACAATAGCCCAGAACATCCTAGGGGTTTGCAGGAAGAGAGAAATATGCAACTAAAACGCACCTCTAGACATTGTAAATACACGCAAACACGTTCATACACGACACGAGAGCAAAACGTATATATATATACGAAGGCCCAATTATTTGACCCAAAAGGACAATCGGGTTTTGACAAATCAGAATCCATCTTCAATCTTATTTCAAAGACCAAAATACAAATATTTTGTAATAAATCATACAGCCATTTTGTATTTATCATAAAATGTGTGTCACTGTAAGGAAAATACAATCTTTTTTGCCTCAGAATCTGCACAGCCAATCATGACATTATCCAAAGAAAAAAGGCTAACAGTATAGCAGCCTTTAAATCAAGATGACCAAATTGGGAAAAACTTTCCATGTCTTCCTTCATAAAAACATGATAATACAGAAAAATTGTTCCAAATCAAACAATCATAGAGTACAAGCATACACCATACAAAATGGTGGTCTCTATAGATGGACAAAAGAATCTTTAAAATGAGTGAAAACAGATAAATAGTGAAAACTGTACAGCTATACGTATGGAACACAGGCAAAACTTTGTTCAGGTGATATCTAGCATGCTTATAACCGCAAGGCTGGTAGGAAGGAGTGTGAGGGTGTATTTGTGTGTACTAGTGTGTGTGTGTGTGTGTGTGTGTGTGTGTGTGTGTTTGTGTGTGTGTGAGAGTGTGCGTGTGTATGTATATATGAGTGTGTTTGTGAGAGGGGGGCGTGGGGTGGGGGAGTCTGTCAACAACAAAAAGGCAATTGTAAGAAAAGTTTTCAGAGAGACACAACCATCATTATGCCAGCTATATATAATATGAAAAAACTTGGCCGAACACAGTCATATTTGGACACATCTCTGTTCCATATCTACAAACTTTATCAGGGCAATGAACTTTTTTTTAAAAAGAAAGGCTTATTAAAAAAAACTTGCACAAACCACTTCAACAACATGTATGAAGAACACATACGGGGTTTGGGCATGGCAGTACCTTGGTAAGACAGTGGAGGAGTAATATAAATATATATATATATATATATATATATATAGAATCTGGACAAAACAAAAAAAACCACAAAAAAACCCAACATTACATCGATGTATGTCAAAAACGGTTGTCATAGCAGCTGGGGCGCACCACATAATTTTTTTACCAATTAGAAGTCGCACCCCCGACCGACGTCACTAAGCATCCAAATCTCGATGAGAACTTAACAGCTCTCAAATCTATTATACTGTTTGTCAGTCGCTGTCTGGATACCTGAAAGGCTCAGAAAGGTGTCATCTCTGGCTCAGAGGTTGAAGTATAACGGCAAAGTTAGTTGTATTGTCATCATTATCATCATCTTGGGAATGAAAACTGGTTCCCAAATGAACATTGTTGGGGAAAATAGAAAAGTAAGGCTTCTCTTACATGCTCCTCAGCTCCTCACTGAACACTTGATGAACAAAATACTGTTGACAGAAGAGGTGGGGGGGGGGGGGGTACTGGTGAAGCTACAGGCAGACGTCTCTTTGTTCTTTCTTTGACACAGAAAAGACCCAGACATCTCTTCATTCTTGTCACCGTCTTATCGCTTCTTTCACACAGCGGAGAGAAGGAAAAAATCTAGGAAGCCCAAGTTTCCTTTGCCACCGATTCCCAAATTCCCCTCCTCTCGCATATACTGTCACAGAGATGATGTCACTGTTCGCCGGGTTAGCAGAAAATGGGATTGAATGATTGCCTACGGCTGTGGTGGGGACGGGTGGGGTGGAGAGAACGACACACACTACTCGTCAGCCCGGGGCACCTTGCTGGGCACCACCAGGCTGTTCTTGGTCATGGACAGCGTGTGCTTGAACGTGTAGCGCGTCACCTCGTAGAAACCTGGGTTGTACACGCTCTGTTGGCTCTGCTGAGACAGGGACGAGCTTGGCTGGAGACAGAGAGAGAGAGAGAGAGAGAGAGAGAAGAATTAAAAAACCCATCCAGTTAGTGCTGAGTAATTTAGGAGACTGGGGAAAAAAAAAAAAAAAACTCTTGAAAACCACAATAAGAAACAATTTACAGATAAATCGTTCAATCTAGGCCTAGTGAGAGTTTTACGG